AATAATAATAATAATAATTCTTCATTTTCGTCGTTCGTGTCGTTATTATAATGAATTTTTAATGAATCTCAAAATGACTTAGCAGTAGAAAAGTTCAAGGGGATAGTATGATATTTATAATCGACATCCGTGATGTTAATGCATTGAATGTTTTGCTTTCAAATAATTTATCGAATGAAGTAAATTTTAAATCAGTGACCCACATTTTATTTTGTTCCCTTCGATAAGTTTCTCAATTCGACCTATTTCATTGTTCTTTCATGAATAATGGCCAAGAACGAACCTCCTCAAGGATAGCTGTTTTTATGTGAATATGAAAATTGAAGTTTTTTCTTTCGTTTTGTTTTTGTTTTTCTGATATTTTAAAGATCTCGGAAACAGTATCTACGTAAATTATTATTCTCAGAAATAAGTTTATTTCCGCCACCTTTTTTTTAATACGTTTTTATTAGCACGGTCTCTGTATATCTGTTAAACTATCTATGTAATGGAATCTTTTTTTTTTCTACATATATTGATAGCCTTGAGACGCTATTTCGGCTTCGCCTTGATGTGTAGGTGAGCTCACGGGGCTCAAACCGGAGTGTTGCTAACACTGCCCCTAGCAAGAGCAGTGCTTCGCAGAATCTACCAACTGATCGGAAACGCGACCCAAAGAGAAGATCCGGCGAGAAACTCAGTGGGCTATGTCTCTGAGTTAATTTACTCGTCGAGCCCTTCGTCGTAAGCAACGGGTTCGGCGAGAACGGTGACCGGTGCTTGAGGTACCTAAAAGCACCTCTTTTAATGCAATTTTCAGCGATATCAAGATTGACTTGAAAAATTGGGACGCGTATCAAGGACCGATGGCAATACAACAATTTTAATAATAATAATAAAATATTATGTTGATATTATTATTGCTCTAGATTTATGGGCGAGCTCACCTGGTGGTAAGTTAAGGGCTAACTAACTAAGCTATTGACATCACAACGTTAGGACTTCAGGGTCTTCACGCATGCAGTATTTAATTAGATTTTGAATATAGTTTAGGACATAGAAATGAGAGCTATTCATATTTATTTATTTTACTGAGAAAATCGAGTATAACTGAAATACGTATTGTTTATTTTTATTGCGTAGTTGAATGAACGAATTTGACCTACACGCTATTTATTGGTTATCCAAGCCGACAGACCTCACTGCGTGAATCCATCCACTTTGAGACTTGAGGTCAAAGTCTCAACTGTATTGTTTGACGGAACATAATATAATCATTACACTCATTCAGTGTTTTAACCGAAAAAGTAAAATTGAGAAGAGCATTTTTGGCTAATTTAGTACGAGTTGTGGGAGATTCACAATTAAATCAATCTTTAAAATGTCTGTTATTGTTGAACTTGTGACGTGCAAATAATATATATGTGACTAGCTTTTGCCCGCGACTCCGTCCGCGTGGAATAGTTACTTTAGCAAAACGCAAAATTTTACTCCTCACTTCATTTACGTAGAATGTGAAAATATTTTTGAATAAACCCTTATTTTGAAACATTCTTTACTGGTGTTTCACTTGTATTGGTCTTACCATGATGTTATAGCCTATACCCTTCCTCAATAAATGGGCTATCTAGCACTGAAAGAATTTTTTAAATCGGACCAGTAGTTCCTGAGATTAGCGCGTTCAAACAAACAAACTCTTCAGCTTTATAATATTAGTATAGTTTGTTATATTCCTATGCGAAATATTTCACCGCTTCTAAATCTATCAGAGAAATGAACTTGGCCCATCACTCCCCGTGTGCCGGCGTGTGCCCTTTGAGTATAGTTCTAGTGCCAACGCTACTGTTACATTGACATAGTTCTGTACAGGGTTCGTAAAGATATACACATATAATGTGATAAGCATCAAGAAATTCGATAAACGAAGATGCGATTTTAAGTTTAATAATTGACTTAAAAATATATCTATTATAACTAGCTGACCCGGCAGACTTCGAGTGCCTTAATCGAATAAAATACCTATCCTTTTGTATAAAATAAACTTAAAACAAACAAAAGGAATCCGTCCGACGGGGGATACATTAAAGGAAAAACAAAATTGTTATTTTTATTTAATTCCGAGCTTTTTTATATTTATTTAAGCCTTCTCTGGACTTCCACAAATAATTCAAGACCAAAATTAGTCAAATCGGTCCAGCCGTTCTCGAGTTTTAGCGAGACTAACGAACAGCAATTCATTTTTATATATATATAGATTTTCAAAATTTACTTTCCATTTTATCGTTGTTTCTGTTACAAAGTAAATGATCTTTTGAATTCAATAAAAATCATCTTACCTAATCAAATTAACAAAATTTAATGGTAGAAAACATGTGTTTCGATCGATGTATGCCCAATGATTCTGATAAAATAGTCGAATCAGGAAAGGTTTGTCCAAAGAAAATTTAAAGAGGAAAACTTAAGAATNTTCAAAATTTACTTTCCATTTTATCGTTGTTTCTGTTACAAAGTAAATGATCTTTTGAATTCAATAAAAATCATCTTACCTAATCAAATTAACAAAATTTAATGGTAGAAAACATGTGTTTCGATCGATGTATGCCCAATGATTCTGATAAAATAGTCGAATCAGGAAAGGTTTGTCCAAAGAAAATTTAAAGAGGAAAACTTAAGAATTTCGAGATTGCTCAATTCTCTGGTTATAAAAATGATTAATATCTACACATAAATATTAATATCCTAATTTTATATATTCGCCGATGAATATCTATGAACCATTTGCACCTGTTATGAATTTCTTAATTTGATTAGAATTTATTATTAGTAAGCGTTCTTTCCGCTCTCAGTTTTAGCCTTGAGCCTTTATGAGCACACGCACCCAAAGTCTATTCCGTGGTTACAAAGCTGCTGTCTCGCGAGCTACTCCCGAGATCTTGATAAACTGATCGACTAAGTCTTCAGTGGTTTTTGCGCAATGAGTTTATTCGATACGATTTACTAAATCGTTTTTTATTGCTTCCACGAAATCGTATCGTGTATTTACTTAAGACTCCTTATGTGAAACGTTTACGATAATGTAATTCTATAATATGAATTATTTTACATGAACATTTAAGAAGGAAGATACATCACGTTTTTTTGTTTGTGTTTATAATTTTTATTCTTATTTTTCCGTTCAACAAAAAAAAAAATATATTACGTAAACTGGTTTGAGCGTTTATTTTTTACGTATAACGAAATAAAGATTAACGGAAAACAACATGTTGAATGCGGAAATATTCGAATACGACAACACAGAGATAGCTGGAGTAAAGATCTCAAATAACAAAACAAGTATTATAAATGTGTGTGTGTTACCAAAAAAAAAAATACTATCTCGAAAACGATTATTATTGAAGCCTTGAATCGGTAATTAATGACAATTCCGATAACCCTGATGATTAATAGAATTTAATAACTATAGACATTCAAACTAATTTAATTTGTTTCTACGTTCAATTTTGATATTCAGGAAACGAAATTATTCCGAAAAACAAGAGATATATCGGCGATGAGCAAAAAATACTATGTGATTGAGTGTGATTTGCATTTCTCATGAATTTTTTATTTTTTTTTTATTTCTTAGATGGATGGACGAGTTCACAGCCCACCTGATGTTAAGTGGTTACTGGAACCCATAGACATCTACAACGTAAATGCGCCACCCACCTCGACACATAAGTTCTAAGGTCTCAGTATAGTTACAACGGCTACCCCACCCTTCGAACCGAAACGCATTACTGCTTTACGACGGAAATAGTTGTTTTGATTAAATTATAATGTTCGTTCTTCACAATGAAATGAGTTAAAATAAATACGAGAAGCTATATAGCTTAGGAAGAGATAATTAATTGAACAAATTATGTTAATGACATCAATTTTGTTGTAGTGAAGTAGTTATGAAGGTTTTTTTTACGTTTTGTACCTACAAGATGTATATTTGAACTCTGAGTAATATTTTCGTTTCGTGTATTGTAATTTTTTGTTGAATACCTTTAAATATTTGGAAGAATACGTGGATATGGAATTCACGCAGTATTTGAAGTTCAAATTTGTAGATAAAAACAATGCAAATCAAATAGGTAACTCGAGTATCTTTTTTGTAAATGTTCAAATAAAAACCAACATCTATTGGTCTCATGTTTTCTTAATGACAGTCATGCTTAATCGACTTAAGGGTTATTGAATCCAACGGCCACCATAACATCGCCGCCCACATTGAGATCGAAATCTCAGTTGCATTTGTAAATTGCATTGGAACGATTGCCATTGACTATGGAGAGTGGAACGCGTGGTGGCTTTGCGACAGAAATATGCAACCGTGCCAAACCTTGCCGGCTCAGAACACGCCCTACCACCAGTTGATATAAACTTTTTAAACATTAAAGATGTTGAAGTTTCTAGTATTCATGTTCTCATAAATTACTGAGTCACGTAAACATTAAAACTGTAATGTGTACTTTTCACTTTTGTAGTAGTTTTATTTGCTTTGAAACAGCGTAGGTATTATGAATAGGTACGTACTTAAATCATTTAGAACAAATTTTCATTTTTGTGTGTTGTATATTTTAGTGTATCGAACGTTTATTGTATGAAAAACTGCAAGTTTAATTTTCTCAAATAAACTTCAATAGTTGTTATTCTGTATATTCACTAACAATTTTACCGTGTTAAAACATTTAGTGTCTTTAATAGAAGCGAAATGAGGCGCGAAAAGACGCGCGAGCGCAGTTCCTTTAGTTGAGTCGATTTCGCAAACCAGCGTCTAATGTGAACCTATTAACCTCTTCGCTGACGAGGCTCGCAAGCGAAGGCGAGAGGCGGATGAGGCGGCGTATAGTGCGTTCATTAGACACAAGGTTGTACTGACCGTCCCATCGGCTCGAGCACAGCGGCTACCGGGCCGATGACGCCCACACATACGTGCCCGCGCATCCTCACATACCTACAAATTTAAAGGTAAACAAACAAAACGACCTTACCTTGCCAACTGTAGCGCACTTCTATTAGTAATCTCATTGTATAAATTCAAAAGAAGGTTACTATCAAACATATTAGCACTTTATCACAGCCATATTCACACAAAATACAAATAATAAAAACATTAAACTATCCGAAGCACCAGCGCTACGATCACAGAGAGGATAATCACAACGTCCAATCCTAGGCACGTCCGTGCGCGAGCGACGTCAAATCAAACTGGTCCGGTCAAAATGACGAAAGTGAAAACATCGCACGCACAGAAAAAAGGTTGGCGCGGTACAGTCCTTGCAGGCCAGGCCGCCTCTCGCGCGGGCTCTAGTGACACACTAACTGCGAGGCGCGCGTATCGCCCGTCGCCTATATAATGAAGCGCTCCGAGCCTCAAACTTCAAACGTTAGCGGACGGCACAAAAAGAAGATGCCCCGCAACGGTAGCTAGGAAAGATTGAACACAAAGAATGGCGACACGTGCACACACGTGGGCGCGTGTGCGTGCACGTGCTGTCAATGTGTGCGAGAGATAGGCGGCCGCAGGAAACTCCGTTCTCTTCCACNATCGCCCGTCGCCTATATAATGAAGCGCTCCGAGCCTCAAACTTCAAACGTTAGCGGACGGCACAAAAAGAAGATGCCCCGCAACGGTAGCTAGGAAAGATTGAACACAAAGAATGGCGACACGTGCACACACGTGGGCGCGTGTGCGTGCACGTGCTGTCAATGTGTGCGAGAGATAGGCGGCCGCAGGAAACTCCGTTCTCTTCCACTAGGAAAGACCTTGGATATGAATCGGCACGTTGCAATGTGTACCGCCATCGCCTACGCCGTCGTTCACAACCTCCAATCTATGTACAGATCTAACGATGCTTCCAGTTAACTTGCTTGCTTTCGATATCGTCGTTGTCAAACCAAAATCTGCTATATGCCAAAACTCTATTTTGAATTAACGAGTAAAAACATTTTCGTATAAAATTTTATATGAAGGTGAATTTTTCAAATGAAAGCTATAGATTCTATACATATTAAAGCTATAGACACAACAGTTTTTTTTTATACGGTAGATAGGGCTGTGAACTATACGAAAAGGTTAGAAAGTAAAAATCTCAAAAAGTGCACATAGCAGATTTTGCGTTTGACAACAACGATATGCCAATCGATGGACGAGACGAAAAACAAAGAACCAACAAACAGGTCGAAAGTAAATATTGTGTATTGTAATAGTCAATACCGTGCTTAATGAGTGTGGTAGATAGCTTTATTGTCGGAACGAGCGGCAGCCGTTGGGACAAATAGTGTAATTGCTGCCGATGACAACGATGATGCAACGAAAGTTGATAATGCTATTAGCAATTTGACACGTATTTAGCGTGGGTGGCCACTGAGAAATGAAGATTATGTCGCAATTTAAGAAGTGGAAGACGTCCGAGATAAAGAAGTTAAGTAGGTCGTTAGAAAAATCTTTAGCATTGGTTATAAAATAGTTACGTTGTTTACTACAAAGGCGATATAAACAGCCGCTCTTCAAAACATCATCGAAAATCATAAACTTAAATTCAAGCGAATTTAATGAGTATTCATTTCTTACAATTTTCGCGTTGAACTTTACCTCTTCAACGAAATGACAGGATATAAATTAATACACCCAAACGTAGGTTACATCTGTATAAGCGAATTGTTTACCAATAACTGTCTAATATTTAACGTTTTAAAGAATCATCAATGGAACAAGACTATTTAGTCCTCTAAAAGTTAAAACTTAAAACATTCCAAAAAACGGTATAAGTTCAAACTTTTGAGTCATTTTACCGAATAAAGTATTGTTTGTCATTTTCATAACATGTCAACAGTACAACGGCTGCCTCACCCTTCAAAGTGAAACGCATTACTGCTTCACAGCAGAAATACGCAGGGTGGTAGTACCTACCCGTGCGGACTCACAAAACGCTCTACCGCCAGTAATAAAAATTCCTCGTGATCTTTGTATACATGTCATACAAGCACTGATTGCATGAATTGTAAATAAATAAAACAATGATTTTACTTCAGATGAGTAGATGAGCTCACTACTATCTATGAGATCTATCGTTAAGTGGTTATCGGATCGCACAGGCATCACAATGTAAATACGTATCGACGTACACATAACATTTAACACTACCTTTAAAACCGGATCGCGTCTTTTGCTTCATGGCAAATATGGCTAATAACAGACGAAGAAAAGAATTTAGTAATAAAGGATTTTTTCTAAATATTAACATTCATTACTTTTATTGTTAATCAATCTAATTCAAAGAGAGCTTTTTAGTGAAATTCAACTTGACTGAAACAATGAACATTTTTGGTAATTAATGTTACTCTTTACAACATTACTTTATCTTCATATTCTTAGTATATAGCCCGAATAAATGTTGTTTTTTTCCTACCTAATTTGGTAACTTTAAAAGGTTAAGCCGAAAGCCGAAGGAAATGGAAACTGATGGTACAAAGAGCCACGAAGGGCTCTCAGGGACACGACCTTCAGCAATGAAGTATGCGACTAAGAAGAAGCAGGGTTATGCCGGCGTAACTTGACTAGTAGGTGAGCTCACGGGGCTCTAGGACGTTGCTAACACTAGCCCTAGCAAGAGCAGTACTTCGCAGAATAAATGATCGAATGTTGTACGAAGTACTAAAACGTACAAGAGTATCGGGTTCCGTTTTCGTAATGGCTTTCCACTTTCGTTTCCACACTCATTGTCTAACGAACGCTCACGTTGGATAACCCAGTGAATTTCTTCCAAAGATACAACGTTACGCAACACGATCTCCATCTGTGTGAACAGCCTTAATTGCTGCCTGTGTTTGACTCTTAATTTAATTTTTGTTATTGAAATTTTATTTTGTAACAAAGTGAGCGGTTCCCACATCTTCGTGAATGTTTACTACGCCTCGTTATTGTCTGTCGTTATTGTATAGTGATGTTTTAAAATTAATATCTAACATTTTATCGAGAAGTAAATGATTTTATTGATGGCGATTATTTATAGTTAATAGTGCTTAGTCTTGCTTGTGAGTATCCATTTATCATAGCATTTGAAACAGACCTTTTCGTTGCAAAACAATGGTTCGTTCACGGTTTTGCGAAATATCTCTATTCAAGTTAAGCATGATCATTGATGGAAACGATATACTTTTTTAGTTTATAAGTAAGCATGGAATTAGGTTGTTATTTTATTTTTGTGTCTAAGATATTTTGAAGTCAGTTTGTTGCTAAAAACATGATCTATTTTACTGAAACACCATTACTTGTATCTTTCTTTCAATTCTTAAATGATGCTTACCGTAAATTAGAAATAGAAAGTAATTACTATACATAAAATAATATGTTGCACTATCCGATGTGTCGGCTACCAATGGAAAATGATACAAACAGATTTAGTTAATAGAACACAATAAGTTCTTTTGAAATTAGCACTTAAAACAGTCATTGCATTTTTAGTACACTGTCATCCAATATTTTTATTAAGTGTATTAAATTTGTTTATGATACTAAGGCGAAGTCACCAGCGAGATAGATTGGGATGCGCGCCATCCGCGACCGGCAAAAAACTTTCTCTGAAACATTTCTCCGAGGTGAAAGTTAAAGTATATGGCATTGTACTTTTGTCACTGGGCTAATCACGAACGTTTATCATAAATCTTATTCCTGACATTTAAAGACACGCCCACCGATATTCGAGTTTGAGAATGAAAGTTTAGGCTGTAGTCGTGCGTGCAATTGCGCAATCGGCTTATCTTGATAACTGACTTGTGTTTAGAAAGGGAGAAGCGAATTTGTCGTTTGCAATGAGTCGTTTTAGCTAAAACCGGAGTAAATGACTCACACATTTATCAAGATTCCAAAGGCATGAACGAAATTAGAGCTGTAATTTAGCTTCATCATTAATTACCACCATTATCGTTTCTTCAAGAGAAAATGATATTGGTGGTGGCACTTGTTTTTTCTTTATCACATATGATTCTTTGAACTGCACTAGTTTGGTTGTTGTCACAGTTACAAATGACCATTTTAGTAGCGCAAACAAAATCGTACCTAAATAAAATAAGCCGGAATGACGTACAAAATAAATTTCCACGTACAACAATGACGAGAATTCCTGTTCGACGAAATAAGATTCGTCAATCGACTCCAATTATATCATCGGTATCGTGTCTTGTATAATTTCGATTTGATTCGGCTATCAATTACGTTCGTATAGATCGCGTGAAAGTGTTTTCGGACTGAACAACGAGTGTGATGCTGTATGCATCCGCGTGTACCATTGGATCCGTCACGATCGGCCGTGTCTGCCATTTATTAATATTAAACGAAAATTCGTTATCCAACTGGCCTTGGACGCTGTTCCTTTCAGTTCTACTTAACGATGAGAGTTTCTCGAAGCGTGCTCTTAATAGCAACATTGACTGGCTTGTTGTCATGGCAACCGTTCCGCGGCAAGTGCTCACTGAACATCGACCATGATACCGATAGTATGGTATCACGAGGTAAAATCTTATTTCTATAAAATGTTACTTTCGAAAGAAAACATGGTATGTCGAAGGTTTTGTAACAATAATTCTCGTCGTAAAGACTCGTCGAGCGAGCCTCGATGCAGACGTCGAAAGTGAGACCGAGAGGTTGCGCAGGCGCGTTACGAAGTTTTTATTGTCGGCCGCGCGCGAAATCACTTGAAAGTTGTAATGTCCTTGGTTATTTCACTTCTTTATTTGTTGTGTTTCCGACACCCGAGCCGAAGTTCAGTCGGCGGTGACGCCAATTGTACGCTTTGAACGTATCGGTTATACTAAATCCCCTTCACTGCGATCTCTGAAGTTGCGATTCTGGTCCGAACGAAAGATTGCAAATACCACCTTTTCATTTTAAGGCTTCGTCGGCGAAGCTAATTAAATCTAAGGTTCGTATAGAGCTGGTATGTGTCTTACCAAGGTATTATGTTAGGGGAAAATCCGTGGCAATCCTGGGTGCGTGTGTACAGGAACGCGCGGCGGTTTCCCGGCGCTTGCGCCACTTCCCCACTTGCGACACGCTTCCTGCGGGAGAGTGCGAGGCCGCGCGAGAGTTCCGCGCGCAACTTGTTGCACAACGTTTATCGGCGACCCGGTTTCGTCTTTCGTCGCGAGTATCACTCAAACTAAATCCTGCGATGCACTATTGTTGTGTCACTGTAATCCTGGCGGAGTTAGCAGCGCGGGCGGCGTTCGACCGGGATGGGAGCTTGTTCGGCGTATCGGCGCGACGGCGCTGCGGGCCGCGGGCGCCGGGCGAGTGGCGCGCGCGCTCCACGGCGCCGCTCTCGGTTGCGCCACACTCGAAAGTAAAAGTGAGCGGCGAGGGGCGCGGCGGCACATTTCTCCCACTTTCGCTGCCGTGATTCATTCCTCGCAGCGTCAAGGTCGCTTCCCGCAACTCCTGCGCTACACCGCCACTCCTCCCGGTCGGCTGGTCACGTTGCGTGCTGTTTTACATGCGACGCGTTGACTGACTGCTACCAAAGGCTGGTAATGCCCGTCACTCGCCGCTATCCCAACTCCTTATTGATAATACTTTGTGTTTTTTTTTGTTGCCGTATAGGCAGACGAGCATACGGCCCACCTGATGGTGAGTGGTTACCGTCGCTCATGGACGTCAGCAATGCCAGAGGCAGAGCCAAGCAGCTGCCTACCGTTTAATACTCTCCACAAGCCTCGTTTGAAGAAAGACATGTCATAGCGCTCGGGAAACACCGTGGAGGGGAACTCATTCCATAGCCGGATGGTACGTGGTAAAATTATAATTTACGTAATTACTGGTGGTAGGACCTCTTGTCAGTCCGCACGGGTAGGTACCACCGCCATGCCTATTTCTGCCGTGAAGCAGTAATGCGTTTCGGGTTGAAGGGTGGGGCAGCCGTTGTAACTATACTTGAGACCTTAGAACTTATATCTCAAGGTGGGTGGCATTTACGTCGTAGATGTCTATGGGCTCCAGTAACCACTTAACACAAGGTGGGCTGTGAGCTCGTCTACCCATCTAAGCAATAAAAAAAAGTGTTGAGCGGTGCCGTACTAAGAGCTGGCACTCGCGCGATCTGTGTAGCTTCAAACTTCAGAGATGTCAGTTATCACATGTTACATGTCCGTCATGTCAGAATTCTTTGTTAAGAATCTAATTAAAATGTATTAGAAGACAAGCCATTGAAAGTAGGAAGTGTTCACTTTCTAAGGCATAAAGTTCAAATGTCGAGATGGGTTGTCGCGCTGAATGAAGTGAAAATGATTAACAGTCACTGATGATGCAAGTCGCGACTATGTACACGAAAAACCTCAAATTAACTAATGTAAGAAGGCTTGTTCATATGTAACGCGGTAGATAGTGAGTAGATATGCGTATTTTACGCCACTGCGCAACGATGCGTGTCTGAAAAGACGTGAGCTCATAGTGGCGCTTACAACATTGTGAAAGCGATTAGACATGAATGATGAATACATTCTAAAGGGACCAAATTCGTGTAGTAAATTAAATTCTGTATTCAAAAAAATTGATTTTTTAAATAAAGACAGCTTGTCATCACGCAGGGATCGAGTTTTGGTTCGAATTATTATTAACTATGCATGAAGCCAGAAAAACTCTGTTTGCGAAACCATTTTCCTTCCGAATCAACTTATAAATAAACAGCCACAATTGTTAAGCATGTTATGCAAATATATAAACAATATGTATGTATGTATGTATAAACAGAGTATCGTAGAAAGTTGAGCTCAACGCGATAGGGCACGAAACATTTGCAAATCCATTCACAATTCAACTTAAAGGCTAATACGTTCTCCCCGATTCACTTCGATTTATATTAATAATTTAACATTTACTTAAAAGCAGATAGACACAGCTATCCTTTACTAGCGGACTAGACTGTGAAGTTTTAGTTGTGAACGTGTGAATATTAACGCTATTAACTAAGACCATGAGATGACGCTTTCGGCAATCGCGAAAACTAAAGTATTCGACATGTAATCAAATGTGGAAATTGTGTTGTAAATGAGTCGTCTATTATCAAAGGTGGCAATCTGTGCATTTGGACAAAAAAATGTTATTGATATGTCAATACAGATTGATTTGAATATAATCGTCTCCTTCAAAGAATACGGTTCAAAATCTGCGTTAAAAAAAGGTTAATACTTAACCTGTTATTTATCTAAGATGTCGTTCAGAAGAGTTTTGTGACTGCCAATGGAATACAAAGTCAATAATTCGTTTTTCTGATTTACCAATAATTGTCCAAAAGTCACATTGCCGGCTTTGATAATAGTCGACTCAAATACGAACATAAAAAAAAATTAGGAGAGTCAGTTTCATCTGTTTTTTTGTTTTTTTTATCGCTCAGATGGATGGACGAGCTGACAGCCCGCCTGGTTTTAAGTGGTTACTGGAGCCCATAGACATCTACAACGTAAATGCGCCACCCGCCTTGAGATATAAGTTCTAAGGTCTCAAGTATTGTTACAACGACTGCCCTACCCTTCAAATCGAAACGCATTACTGCTTCACGGCAGAAATAGGCAGGGTGGTGGTACCTACCCGCGCGGACTCACAAGAAGTCCTATCACCAGTAAATGCTTAGATGTTTGTACAAGCTCACCAACCATCAGGTAACTAGTATATATTTCTACATGAAGAGGACGAGGTAGACCTTTTTGTCCCTACCTGATCGCTGGTAGCTAATGTGCTATTCCAACTTCGCGCGGACCGTTAGGTGAGCTCATGGGTTGCAATTGCTAACACTAGCCCTAGCAAGAGCAGTGCTTCGTTGAATCAACTACCGAATCGGAATCGCGACCCACAGAAAAAATCCGGCGAGAAACTCAGTGGGTTAAGAGGTAGACCTAAGAAAAAATTGATGGATTGGGTGAAAGACGATATGGTGATAGAGGAATATGGAAGGAGAAAACATGTTGCGCCGACCCCAAGCGACTGGGTGAACGGCAGGAGAATGATGATTTCTAGGCGAATTTCACTGCCCATTTTGATACACGAGCTCGTGTTATCGATCGGATAAGTTACAATTGTATTGGATTATATTATAGCCTTAGAGCGGAACATATGGGCGTTTTGCCAGCAATGGTACCTTCTTTTTATGCCTGCCTTTGTAGTTGACGAACACACGGCCCATTTGATGGTAGTTTGAGTGGTTTGAAGCTCATGACATCAACAATGCCAAGGAAACAGCCAAGCCGTTGCCTGCCTTTCTGCTCGGGATCACAATGTGAAGCACAGATTTTTAACCATTCCCTCTTGACATACGTAAAATACAATATTCATTGTACAAAGAACAAAGATTGATTGCTTTGTTGAGTGATCAATCCGTTACAAAAACCGTGTATTTTGACAGCGGTATCAAAAGAGAATTGCGCAATAAAAACCTCTCTCTCTCTCTCTCTCTCTCTCTTTCTTTCAAGGCTTTCTACTTTCCAGCTTCTACTGGCAGATGATACAACCTATTACTATTTAACTGACTAAAATTAACAATAACGAACAATAAAATCGTATTATATTGGCATTTTCGACGTTCGAGTCAAAATCAGAAAAAACAGCGTGTTCTTTTAATAACACAGAACTTAGCCAAACTGGTTGATGCCTAATCTTTTTTTTGTGCTGAATTGACATCGATTTCCTAATTGTTGTAGTTTTTTATAGTACGAAATGTATCTTTTTAGGACTTAGTTCTTTTATTTATTTATTTTTTATTGCTTAGATGGGTGGACGAGCTCACAGACCACCTGATGCTAAGTGGTTACTGGAGCCCATAGACATCTACAACGTAAATGCGCCACCCACCTTGAGATATAAGTTCTAAGGTCTCAAGTATAGTTACAACGGCTGCCCCACCCTTCAAACCGAAACGCATTACTGTTTCACGGTAGAAATAGGCAGGGTGGTGGTACCCACCCGCGCGGACTCACAAGAGGTCCTACCACCAGTTAAAAACAAGTCAAAAGACTTTGACATTTTTTTTACTGGTGAAAGTCAAAGTTCAAAGTCTTTTGACTTTTTCTTTGATTTGTATATATACATTCTTTAAATTATTTATTTGAATAAGTCTTATTCTAAAATTGGATTGCGTATAGTTCAAAGTTGCAAACGTGGGTATCTGACCTAAGCCTGTCATTTAAATATGTGCATTCTCCAATAAGCATTTTAGATTTGCTTCAATTTTCATGGTAAGAAAATTTAACGGAGACATTTGTTATTGTTTAATCTCTTTATTTTGAGTCGTACGTACACTATACAAAAATTATAAATTGAAATGAACGCGTAAAAACAAATGTTATTAAATATAAATTTCACCGGGTACCGTGTAAGCAATCCGTAAACAAACAAAACGAATTGTTTTAATTTGAACAACAAGTCAACAGCGGAACACTTGTGCAATTTATTATTAAACAGGCGAATAGTATAAATGAGCGCGCAAAGTGCGGACCCGCAGTCGACATTGAAAGTCGGCGTTGGCTTACGTAACACTAGAAACGGCGACCGAACAACGTATTGAATATCACACGGTCGCACGTGGTCGGCGCACCGTGTCTTCAAGATTACCAGTGGAAGTTGGAACGGGCAAGGCTGGTCTATATACACATTGAAAAACTTGAATATACACATCGAAAACTAGAGATGTGTACGTTAAAAACGCGGCTTATCTCTTCCGAATCACGTTTGATCTCTTTGCTGTAACCTCAAACATTAATCAAGACTTAAATTGGCAAGATTGAGCTTTTTATTTATTTATTTTTTATTGCTTTGATGGGTGGACGGTGTTAAAAGGTTACTGGAGCCCATAGATATATACAACGTAAATGCGCCACACACCTTGAGATATAAGTTCTAAGGTCTCAGTATAGTTACAACGGCTGCCCCATCCTTCAAACCGAAACGCATTACTGCTTCACGGCAGAAATAGGCAGGGCGGTGGTACCTACCCGCGCGAACTCACAAGAAGTCCTACCACCCGTAATTGAAGTATACACCAGTAAGTGTGTATTAAGATACAATTCTTGAGAATAATGTTGAGCATCTCAGTCTTTTAGCTGGAAAGGTACGTTTTTGACTTCACCCGAGCTGAAAATCGCCTATCGTCGAGTCCTATAGTTTATATTAGAAAGTATTGTTTGCCCCGGTCACCGTTCTCGTCGAACCCGTCGCTTGCGACGAAGGGCTCGGCGAGTAAATTAACCCACAGACACAGCCCACTGAGTTTCTCGCCGGATCTTCTCAGTGGGTCGCGTTTCCGATCCGGTGGTAGATTCTGCGAAGCACGGCTCTTGCTAGGGTTCTTGTTAGCAACAACGTCAGGTTTGAGCCCCGCGAGCTCATCTACAACTAGGTGACGCTGATATGGTCTCCCTAAGCCATCAGATTAGGTAGGAAAAAAACACACCAAGATAATTTGGTGTCCGTAAAACATTTCATAAACTTGGCAATGTTAATTTGCCACCAAAATTGTAACTGTCAAGACTGTATTACAGTTAACGGCTATCATCTTGAATGAGCTGCTTCAAATTCAAATTCAAAATCATTTATTTCAACTTAGATGTCAGTATACACACCTGTTGAATGTCAAAATATAAACAACAATACTAACTCTACCGCCGGTTTAAAAAAAAGCTACAGTTCTGAGAAGAACCGGCGAAACAAACTCAGCGGGCTTTTTTTTTGTTTTTTCTCAAATATTTACCTTTTTTTTTAAATAAGTAAAAATATTTACAATAAAGGAAAAAACAAGTAAAAAAATACAATTAAATAATAATAATAATAATGAATAAACTTAAAAATGTGTGCGTGTACTAGTGTACACACGTAAGAAGTGAAACTTATTTATGGCCTTATTTTTCGAAAAATGATCTACATGCAACTTTCTAGAAATTGGTTAAATAAAGTTAAATTAGATAAAGTTTAAACAAAAGGATTTTATTATCATAGACATGAATACAAAACAGATGGCGCGTAACGGAAAAATGTGACGCGTAACCGAAAAATGTGACGGTAAATTTTTTTCCAACGCCGATAAGGAAGTTTCACTTCAAAAATTAAAAGGCCAGGAGCGAACGCCTCATTCCCACGTAGTGCCATCTAGTAAATAATCCTTAATTTTATAATATGCCTTGTTGCACAAACGTTCCTTGACAGTTTTCTTAAATCTATGAACAGTTAGATTCGTATTGTTAAAATGGTATACGAATGTTTCATATCTGAATAATGTGGCCCTATACGGGGCGCCCGTGTGGGGCCAGTCCCTGGCCGTGGGGGTGGCGAAGCTGCTGCAACGGCCGCAACGCACCATCGCGGTCAGGGTCATCCGTGGTTATCGCACCATCTCCTTTGAGGCGGCGTGTGTACTGGCTGGGACGCCACCTTGGGTTCTGGAAGCGGAGGCGCTCGCCGCTGACTATAAGTGGCGGGCTGAACTTCGTGCCCGGGGCGTGGCGCGTCCCAGCCCCAGTGTGGTCAGAGCGCGGAGGGCCCAATCTCGGCGGTCCGTGCTGGAGTCATGGTCCAGACGGCTGGCTGATCCTTCGGCTGGTCGTAGGACCGTCGAGGCGATTCGCCCGATCCTTGTGGATTGGGTGAATCGTGACAGAGGACGCCTCACTTTCCGGCTCACGCAGGTGCTCACTGGGCATGGTTGTTTCGGTGAGTTCCTGCACCGGATCACAGCCGAGCCGACGGCAGAGTGCCACCATTGTGGTTGCGACTTGGACACGGCAGAGCATACGCTCGTCGCCTGCCCCGCATGGGAGGGGTGGCGCCGTGTCCTCGTCGCAAAAATAGGAACTGACTTGTCGTTGCCGAGTGTTGTGGCATCGATGCTCGGCGACGACCATCTCGCAGAAGGAGGCGGCGGGGCGCGTGAGAGACGCACAATCCCGCCGCGGTCGAGCGGGGGCCAGGGAGGCGGATCTCGCCCAATCCCTGGCCCTCTAAGTGTTTCGGGTCCCCCTCACATGTCGGTCTGGGGACCGGCGAGGGGGGCCTAAGAAGACGACGTGCAAGCTGCTCTGCACGCGTTTTACGCAAGAGCATCCGGGTGATGGAAGGCCGGCTATCCTCGACCCACGCTGGTTCTGGCCCAGCGGGGTATTCCGTAGGGTAACCCACTCCAACCGGCGCCATCTAGGCGGGCTTCGGACAGTCTGCCGACCGAGAGGGCTGGTGGTCGTGGCGCCGACGACCGCCAGTCCGGCGTCCCGAGGGGGAGGGTGATGGGAGAGATGTGCTCCGCACTAAACGCTTCACTTTCCCCCCTTTGCCTCTTCATGAGTTCTGTCTCATGCGAGGTTTGGACGTTGGTTGTTGAGCGATAGGAGGTTTTAGTCAGTTCGACTCTGACATACCCCGCCCAGTAAAGGGCGGAAGTCCGGCGATTTCCTCCTGACCAAAAAAAAAAAAAAAACCCTTGCACTACTACATTTACGCTAAAATTAATTTTACGGTTTATTCTCGCGTTTATTATTGGTATCATAGGTAAGATATAAGCAGTGCCTTTGTACATAATTTTCCTATTACTCTGTACTGTGTCTTGTTTTCTGTGTGTACATAAATAAATAAATAAATAAAATCATTATGCGGTAGGCAGCGGCTTGGCTCTGCCCCTGGCATTGCTGAAGTCCATGGGCGACGGTAACCCCTCACCATCAGGTGGGCCATCTGATCGTCTGCCTACAAGGGCAATAAAAAAAAAGCATCATATTATTTCCAACTTATTTATATTTATAACTATTATTTTTAATTGTTAACATGGGTGGACGAGCTCACGGCCCACCTGGTGTTAAGTAGTTACCGGTTGAGATATGAGTTCTAAGGTCTCAGTATAGTTACAACGTCTGCTCCACTTGTCAAACTGAAACGCATTACTGCTTCACGGCAGAAATAGGCAGGGTGGTGGTACATACCCGTGCGGACTCACAAGACGTCCTACCACCGGTAATTAGGCAAATTATAATTTTGCGGGTTTGATTTTTATTACAAAATGTTATTCCTTCACCGTGGAAGTCAATCGAGAACATTTGTTAAGTACGTATTTCATTATTGGTACCCGCCTACGGGATTCGAACGACGACTTCAACTTTACTTACCTCTAGCAATGGCGGATCCAGGGGGGGGGGGGTCATGGGGGTCATGATCCCCCCCCTGAGCTAGTTCCAGGACTTGAACTAACTTGGACTAATTGAAGAACATCATGATTTATTTATTATCTATTGTTATCAAAATTAAATTATAAGTTCTTAGCTTGCCCACGACTATGTGACCCCTCCTGGCGCCAAAGCTGGATCCGCCCTTGACCTCCAGTAAGTAAACAAAAATTAACTTGGAATATACATATTACAAAAAGTTTTTTTATTGTCTAGCTGAGAACATTACCAATATATCTGACTCTCCACGGTCTCCGTCTAACTCACAGAACCCGCCGAAACATGAACGGTATGTAGAATTTCTGATCAGTATGAGTCATATTTATATGTGTTTCTCTAATGTTTAGTTCATATGACAGCTAACACCACTAGATATACGCCGATATGTATAATTTTTCTAGTTTTTTTTGCTATAAACTTACTACTCACTTGGTGTTAAGAAGTTACCGAAGCTCATCGACATTGACCACATAAAAGCGGCCACCCGGTCCAAAGCGGACATGAGTTATGAAACTCAGTTCTATGGTATAACGGCTACCCCCACCCTTCAAACCGGAATGCATAACTGCCTCACGGCAGAAGTAGTATGTGTAGTATAGTAGGTTGTATTTTTTATATAACTTAGATGGATGGACGAGCTCACAACCCACATGCTGTTAAGTGGTTGCTTGAGCCCACGGACACCAACCAAGCAAATGCAGCCACCCACCTTGAGATATAAGTTCTAAGGTCTCAGTATAGTTACAACGGCTGCCCTACCCTTCAAACCAAAACGAATTACTGCTTCACGGCAGAAATAGGCAGGATGATGGTACCTATCCGTGCGGACTCACAAGACGTCCTACCACCAGTAAATATAATGACGCATCGTGCCGTCACTTCGCTTCTTCTATATAATTTAAATCGCGTCCGTGCCGTATCCGTTCCGCGCCTTCGCCGCGCCAAAAGCTGCTTTCAAACTACGCTATACTATAGTGCCATATAGTATAGCAGCCTATACTTAGCCAATAATATATAGTACAGTACAGTATGAACGTGTCCATAACAACGTATGGGATGCGATGCTATGAGCTATATACTATATCGTCGCTGTCAAACCAAAATCTGCTATGTGCAAAAACTCTTAATTTGAATTAACGAGTAAAAACAGTTTCGTATAAAATTTTATATGATGGTGAACTTTTAAGAACTATATCAAATGTAGCAGTTTTTTTATATGATAGATAGGGCTGTGAACTATACGAAAAGGTCAAAAAGTAATAAATCTCAAAAAGTTCACATAGTAGATTTTGGTTTGACAACGACGATATGCTATTATATTATAGCGTAGTCTGAAAGCGGCTTTAAGCCTTACGCCGTTCGTGTGTATTTCGCGCCTTATGATAGTATGAAAAGACGTCAGACCAGTGCTATATTAGGGTTCCAGTCGTGTACTACGGCACCAGAACCCACAAACAGCTACAGCAGGTGATCAAAGAGTTCAAACGCACGGTCTACTGCAAGGAGATACGTATGTCGATACTGGCCGGCAGAGACCGCACCTGTCTAATGCCATTCGATCGTAAAGTCTGGAAAACCAAGGACGATATGTGCGCTGAGTGCATCAAAGTGAGTAAACAGATTCTTTTGTTTAATTATCAGTACTAAGCTTTAATGTAGATTAGATTTCATATATGGTTCTTACCCAGTAACAATTGCAACGTAATTAACGCCACCGACTGCAACTCGTATCAGATAAGCTAAGGTTAGGTAGGTTGAGTGTGAGAGTGCAGTCCCCTGCACTCTTACACTTACTTACTCGCTTAGTGTGGTAGGACCCTAAAACTCCTTGGGCTTGCAGTCTGCTCCCAACATCAGCAGATCGTCAAGTCCCACATACCGCGCGCACCCCCTAAGCGCGGGGACCTCGTAGGAGGTTTGGCCCCTAGCCCGAAAAAAAAGGCTATACTGTTTAAGTAGTGCTTTTTTTACCAACAAAGTTGAGCCGCAGAAGACCGAAACACGAGAGATCACAATGGCATTGCTGCCGAACGCCTAGTGAAGTGCTTTCCTACACTTATAACTGTTAAATTAAGGGGAGATGGAGATCTACAGGCGTCTAATAGTTAGTTATATCGAAATGCAGACAAGCGACCTGGCTGTACCCCTGGCATTGCTGACGTCCAGAAAAAGACATCGTCAGCCTGTATCTCTATTGCTGAATGTAAACCTCTCACATAGTCCGCCACAATGAACCGGCCTTTATAATTTTGAAATTGTCACGAAAACTTGCCCCATTTTCTTCCAGACCAAATCAAGTCTGATGAATGCGTCATTACCGCAAACGTCAAGCTGCAAATTCTACGACAACCGAATGTCGTTGACGCACAGCAACTTGCCCCCAGCCTTCGACATCGAGGACTTGGTCGAAGCCGGAGCGAAACTAAACGCCTGCCCTTACTTCGCTGCCAAGAGCATGGCCGCAAAAGCAAAAATCATCTTCTGTCCTTACAACTATCTGATCAACCCTTTCATTAGGGAGCGGGTAAGATTCATAAAAGCAGATTCAACTTTAGTGTAATAGATTGGATTTTGAGGCCGACGGTATTATACGCGATTTTCGATTTTCTGGTCGTCATCCACTCCAGTTAGCTTACTCGTGATACGATAGTTTATACTGTTACGCCGGTAAGAGTAATGCCATCTATCGCCGAATAGCCAAACGAATATCGAACGTACTATTAAAATCGGGCAGCACAACGCCATCTATTGTCAGATAGCAGAAACACGCATCGAAGCTACTCGACTTGCCCAGAATGTACTCGATAAATCTAGGAATGTCGTGTTAGTGTTCGTTAAGTTCTGAGTGTTAATACAGTCTCAATTTATACTTCGGTAGAATTTTTACTTATCCCAAACCCTAGCACATAACAACTGAAAATTTGACTGGAATAGTTATTCTTCGAGAAAGAGGCACGGCACGGAAACCTTCATATCGTGGAGGCACGGGGAAAATTCCCATAACATAGGCATGTCATATCGTTCTCCTGATACACTCTCAGTGCTTTTAGACCACCGGTCACCATTCTCGTAAAAAGTTCGACGAGCGCATTAACCCGTAGACACAGCCCACTGTGTTTCTCGCCGAATTATCTCAGTGGGTGGCTATTCTGATCCGGTGGTAGATTCAATGAAGCATTGCTCTTGCTAGGGCTTGTGTTAGCAAAGCCTCCCAGGCTGAGCCCGCGAGCTCGCGAACACGTTCACTGAAGCATAACCTCCGATCATACACGTTTTAATGAAATAATACGTGATTTCTCTCACAGATGAGGATCAATTTAGCAGACAACATAGTCGTTATAGACGAAGGTCACAACATCGAAGACATCTGCAGAGACGAGGCCACCTGCACCATCGAGAGGAGACGGATATCTGAAGCTGTTGATGTCAGTGTTATCAATAAAACAGTGTGCTTAGTGCGAGTTTCTTAATGTTCTCGATAGCGTAAAAGTTAACCCAACTTTGTATGCAGTTGGAACAGCGCCCCTAGCGGCAAACGTACGCAAACGATCCCATTCCATACAAATATGAGCTAACTTTTCCGCTATCGAGATCGTTAAAAAACTCGCACTAAGCAAACTTATTGAATGTCAATGTATTTAATTTATACTTAAGGTAAAATGTCTGATTGATGTAACTTTGATATGGTGCATTTGTGACGGGTATTTATGGAAAATGTGATGAGTTTAAATTGTTTATTGATTATTATGTTTAAAATAGTACAATTAACATGATATCATTGATATTTAATTATATGTCCTTTTATTGATCGATAGTACACGGTGATTATTTTATTTACTTAGAGGATTCTAGTCCATCGGATGATTCTCTGGGAGAGATCGCTATTGTTCTTTTTATGCCTAATCTTTCGCATTTGTTTTGATTTTATATTTTTCTAAAATAAAACATACTCTACTGTAAATGATAGCACGAAACAGCTATCAATATCAGCAGCATCTATTTCAAGAAACATGTTACATAACATAAACAATTAATCAAACTTACATGTTACACAGTGGCTCCCAGTAAAATTTATGTGACAAAAAACCGTCAGATTTAAAACATTAATAGCCGCGAGACTAACACTTAAATATGAATAAATTATGATGTAATATTTACGTTTGATCATCAGCATTGTTATATCAATCGCTGGAAACATTTCATAGATATGGAAATCTTTCATAGATTTGCATATTTGCCAGCACTTTCAAGTGATCTGCCTTTAATGTATCCAGAACAAATCAAGTCACCTAAATTCCTAAAACAATAGTATAAAGTAACAAAATGAAATAATTACAGCAACTGCAGTACGCCAAGAGGTACGTTAAGATGGGCCAGGACGAGGCTGCAAGAGGAGAAACAATAGATTTTTTCATCAAGACATTACAAATATGGGATAAGTGGTAAGACTTTATTTGTTAAACGATTTCCCTTCATTCTTCTAGCATAGCCTTCATGGCTAAAATACCTGGTGATCAGATATAACTTTAAACGCCTAAAATAGGTGAACGAGCTCACGGTCTACCAGGTGTTAAGTGGCTATCGAAACCATCGCCTACTTTGAGACATGAGATTTAAGTCTCTTGTATAGTATACGCTTTGCTGAATCTGAAACCGAATAACAAAATCCGGCGAGAAACTCAGATATCCCGTAGCCTTAGTTAGAAGATCGAAGAGAGAAATCGTCATAGTTTCATCAGTGCGCCGCGTAGGGCACTTGTGACCTACACGGCAGTCAACGTGTTAATAATTGTACTATTTTAATTTTCAGTTTAATAGAACAATCCGATCGCGTATCGCGCGAGAACACCGACATGTGGAACATGAACGAGTTCATGACTATGCTAAATGAAAATGGCATAGGACAAAACAATTATCATAGTGAGCACGCTTAATACTTTATTACTGAATAGATTATAATTAAACTTTTGACTGCCGTGTAGGTCACCGGTGCCCTACGCGGCGCACTGAAGTAATTACATATGTCCATTTTTGTTACTAAGGCTTCTGGATGGCCTTCTTTTGTATGTTAATGTATGTTTTAGTTTTTTTAAGTCTCTTAGAAATAGATCATTCTCAGTATCTTTGAATTTGTCGTTGCCAGTATACCGATACCGGCACTATAGTATTGTTACGCCGATACGAGTAACGCCATCTATCGCCGAATATTCGAACGAATATCGAAGGATCTAGTAGCACCTAGAACTCTCCAGAAATGCAACGCCATCTATTATCAGATACCGGAAACACAATGGTCGAAATGTGTGGAATATTCTCGATAATTCTAGGGATGTGGTATCGGCTATAAAAGCGTTGCAGAGATGACACGCAGTCAGTCAGTAATCGGAACTACTCGAAGTGAAACTGCGAACGGATCACCTGAAGCGAAGCGGAACAAGCGAATGTTTGTTAAGTGTTCTAAGTATTGAATACAGTGTTAACTTGTAATTCGGTAGAATTTTATTAATCCCGAACCCTAGAGCGCAACAGTAAGATGATCGAAGAGAGAAATCGACATAATGACTTCAGTGCGCCGCGTAGGGCACCGGTGACCTACCAGCAGTCGAAGGGTTAACTGGTTTTGGTGATGACGTCAGAGGTCGAAAAACATTTGTTTATAGCTTAGAATTTGTTCTCAAAGGTCGATTAAAGACTTCACTGGAGAATGGGAAGTGGCTTTCTATCAGTACTATCCTAAATTGTTGTGAGCCGGAGCGAATGAGCATTAGTTCATTTGTCTTATACAATTTTTAGTAGTGGTAGGACGTGTTGTATGTTCGCGTGGGTTTCAATAAATGAGATTATGAGTGACAGTGCGAACCCATCATCCATGTTCAGATATGAGGTTCGACCTCATGTCTCAAGGTGGGTAAAAGAGCTATTTGGTATTAACAAGTTACTGGAGCGCCTAAGTATCACTACGTCACCCAATTTGAGACACGAGATTGAGGGTTGTTTGGACCTTCAAATCGCCGCTGATATTGATCGTTCTCAAAAAGAGTCGGTGGAGCAAGAGACAAAGAGAGAGAGATATATTCTTTTTTCGCTACGAATTGCTATTGCCGAGTCAAGGATAGAACTAACCTAGTCGGGCTGGTGATTAGGTTGATTCTACCGATGGCGCCCCGTGCTCGGTGGCGAAGCTACTGACTTTCTATTACCCATGCTTTTTCCAAGTTACGTTTCGGTGGCGATCTCACATTTGGGTGGGAAAGGGATGATAATAACTTCCGCGACCAGAACACAGCCACGTCACATGGCGGGTTAAAGCTTACGCCTCTTAAACATAAGCAGATAAAGCTGTTGCTTTAACCTATGACAACTATCGTCGTACGCCTTGAGGTCAAAATCTAGAGAGCATTGAATACAATGACTATGCAATTATGGTAGCAAATCTGCTTTACAGTTAGCAGAGGCACGATGCCAGTAATAATCCTTCCGAGTTCATCACGACCTGTTTTGGTAAATTAAATAAAAATAGAAGGGTGAATGGATGTGTTTTACTGGTGGTAGGACCTCTTGTGAGTCCGCGCGGGTAGGTACTACCACCCTGCCTATTTCTGCCGTGAAGCAGTAATGCGTTTCGGCTTGAAGGGTGGGGCAGCCGTTGTAACTATACTTGAGACCTTATAACTTATATCTCAAGGTGGGTGGCGCATTTACGTTATAGATGTCTATGAGCTCCGGTAACCACTTAACACCGGGTGGGCCGTGAGCTCGTCCACTTAACTAAGCAATTAAAAAAAAACGCCGCAACGTACATTGTAAATTGTCACGCACAATGTTATTATGTTTTTCAGATTTCAATTTTCATTTATCGAAACTATTACGTATGCAAGATGATTTGTACGGTGTAGGACAACACACGGTCGCCTTGCTGGAAACAATGGACTCGGCTCTCGGTAAGTGAGGATACGTTTTAATGTAACAAAGCACTATGTCTGTCTGTACAAGTTCATTACAGTCGTATCGGAAGTCGATGGAGATAAAATCAGCAATGTTCCGTGTTTTGTTTGTACCAAAATTTTTTATTCATGACAGTATTCGTCTTAACAAACGGTTCGAATCGATTTTATATAAAGAAAAGAAATGGTGCGCGTGCAACTTGGTGCACGTGAAAGAAGTGAAACTTCTCTTGTGGTTTTCGTCATTTTTCATCCTTAAATCAAATTACATACAAGAGTGTAATAGAGAATACCGTGTATAAGAGAAACGACCTAGCTCGCTTTCTCCCTCTCTCCACGGTCGAGTGGTTCGCGAGACGCTCTGTCTATTTTCTCACTCTCACTCTTCCTAAATTGTATCTTTTCTCTCTTAGCCGTACCGAATCGGTCGCAAGTTAAATTTTACTCTCAACGCACTTAAAGAAGTTTCACTTCAAAAAATCTTCAATACACCGACAGCTTTTTGATTTCAGTTTTATCATATCATAGATAGGCAAATGTTTATTTCATGACGTTTATTAATTTAACCTATTTGTCGATTGAATTGCTCTCAAGACTTCCGATTAATTTAAATTATTTTTCGACTCACCCAAGTATCGATGACAATACAATGGTTTTATTAATTTTGACTAATACCGAGGTTAAATAGAATCTATATATTAATTAATACGTGAAGCAAAAACTTTGTACCCTTTTTACGAAAATTGCGCCGACGGAGAAGTATAAAATTTCTCACACTTATAGAGAATATAGAGAAGGAGTGCAGAATGCTATTTTTTTTTATTACTATAAAAAATACATTAAATCAATAAATAAAACATTATACACAGTACCTTGTATTTGACACAACACATACATATAATTTTTTTATTGTTTAAAGTCTGTGGTCCATTTGAGAATAGATTAATATCTTTTGTCATTAATATTATTTTTCTAATTTATCTATAGTGTTATTTTGGCGTAAAAATTTGTGATTTTAGAAGTATAATAGTGTTTGACAATAGAACCATAATAATTTACAAACTTATAATTTCAATTAATTATAGTCGAATTTCGACTACTGCGGGGCCACTAGTATTCTTTTTAAGCGGTTATTTTTTTAAATTAGTTTTCTTATTTATGTCCAGGGTACCTTTTCAAGGACGAATGTAAACACGCCGAAGACTTCGTGCCGATGTTGCTGAAGGGCGACGACTCGCGCGCGCTCTATCGGCGACGGTCGTATACCGGCGAGGTGCGTGTGGGAAATTCAACTTTAAACGAGTGCTTAATTGTGTTTTATTTTCCTTGAAAACAGATTGACGAAGACAAGACGAAAATAAAAAAGATTTTGTTTTAAATTATTATTGAAGTGAAACTTCTAATGCGACTTCTAACCAGGTTGCGTTAAACGTTTAACGTTTCCATACTAGAAAGAGACATAGCGAGAGTGAATGCGTGGCACTCGAACGTATGCGCGTAGTACACGTGTTACAGGCCAGCGCGAGCGTTAGCAACGAGTAGCGTTCAATATTTTAATTAAGTATTTAAATAAATATTATTTATTTATTTTTCTTTCTATAATTTAAAATATATATAATAGAAGTGTTGAAGATATCGCATCTCTTATACACAGCATTCCCTATTACAAGAGCAATCTGATTTAATGTTAAAAAATGAAGAAAACCACAATACTACACATTGAAAAAGAAGTTTCACTTCATTCACGTGCACCAAGTTGCAAAAAAAAACGGTGCCCGTTCACCTTTTTTTTTTCTACGGCGCGAAATGTAATACAACTAATATCATATGTCACAGGGGCCCACCAAGCAATGCACCGACTCGATAGAAGACCTCTTCATAATAATTTGCTTAAATTTATATTCCCAGTTCAAAGGTGCGAACATATCGATACGTCTTCTGTGCATGAGTCCGGCGGTGCTGTTCGAGGGTCTGACGAAGGCTCGATCTATAATACTGGCCTCCGGTACACTGTCGCCCGTGGGCAGCATGAAGCACGAGCTCGGCGCCGAGTTCAACGTGTCGTGTTTGAACCACGTCATCTCTAGAGAACGGGTGAGTTGTATATATTATATACAAAGTACAATCCGGCACAGTGATGTTACGGAGATAGTCTGGTGGTAGGACCTCTTGTGAGTCCGCACGGGTAGGTACGACCACCCTGCCTATTTCTGCCGTGAAGCAGTAATGCGTTTCGGTTTAAAGGATGAGGCGACCGTTGTAACTACACTGAGAACTTAGAACTCATATTTCAAAGTGGGTGACAGCATTTCTGTTGTAGATGTCCCCATGGACATGGAGCCCATGCTCCGGTAACTACTTGACACCAAGTGGGCTGTGAGCTCGTCTATCCATCTAAGTAATTAAAAAAATAACTTTAAAAAGTCAATTTTATTTGCAAAATATCATATAAGTGTTGTACAACCAAAGCTTTTTAAAAAATAATACAATTTTATGAGTTACTAGTCACAAACCTGATTTGATGTCGAAATTTTGATTTTGATCTTTGGATTTCCGGAAAATGTCATCAAAATCGAACCAATTTTTTAAAGGCGAGTCTCTCTCAGCCATATACGAATCCATCAACAGATTCTGAGTGTACTGGATACCGAGTAATAACCGCGAATCTGCCCTATTGACCGTGAGCATTCATGACCACACCATTCGACGTATGTTTCATTCTAGGTATGGATAGGAACATTAAGAAACTGCGAGAGCTCGGAACAATTGAAATGTACGAAGGATAATATGGAGAAAAAACAAGTACAGGATTCCATAGGGAAGGCTATATTGAGGGTGTGTGACGTCACGCCCCATGGAGTGCTGTGCTTTCACTCCTCGTACACATCCATGAGGTTGCTGCATCAAAGGTATCACTTACCATAACGTGTTGTGTTTCAAAGACTTTTAAACTTAGGATTAAAACATCACGACATCATTTTGAATTGATAAAGTCTTGTTGCTACACTTCCCTCCACTAACACGGTGATACAATTACAATAATAAATATTCTGCCGAGAGACAATCATAGTCTGTGATTTCTAGATTGAGTCAGCCGTTATGCAATGAAGACTTCCACCGCATGTTTAAACATGAGTGGCAATTACGGTCAGTCTCGTCTGTCAAACTAGAGCTAAAATGAAAAAGGACAATAACCGACAAAATAATTTTAACAAACTTAAACACTTGTGCCCACAAATTTCGACATAAAATTAATAATTTTCAAGACAATTCCGAAAGTATTTGAAGAGAAAAAAGCGTATTAAAGTAGATCAATAGAAAACAACGTTATTTATCTCCTTAATTTGGATATACTTTTTTAGTGATGGCAATATTTTTTTTACAGGTGGCAACAAACTGGCTTGTGGGACAAATTGAATAGCCTAAAATATATATTTAAGGAGAGCGACAATACGACTGATCATGACGAAATTATGAAGGTGAGAACGTAATGTATGATCCTTTTTTTTATTGCTTAAAAAAATCCTACTGTGCAATATTTAGTTCAATATAGGTACTAAAACTTTTACGGTTTGATTTCGCGTTACTTGAACAAGCTTTTCCTCCTGCACCGTGGATACAGAGATAAGTCAAATAATTACTGTTCAAGTAATTACTGGCGGTAGGACCTCTTGTGGGTCCTCACGGGTAGGTACAACCCCTTGCTTATTTCTGCCGTGAAGCAGTAATGCGTTTCGGTTTGAAGGATGAGGCAGCCGTTGTAACTATACTGAGACCTTAGAACTCATGTTTCAACGTGGGTGGCGCATTTACGTTGTAGATGTCTATGGGCTCCAGTAACCACTCAACAACCAGGTGGGCTGTGAGCTCGTGCACCCATCTAAGCAATAAAAAAATTTAAAAAAAAAGCGAATAATAAATACAGCCGTTAAGTAAGTATCAGTGTAGTCAATTCGTATCCTTGTTTCCTTTCGAAGGAGTACTACAGCGCTGCGGAGGTGGATCGAGGCGCGATCTTGTTCGCCGTGTACCGGGGGAAGGTCTCCGAGGGCATGGACTTCAGGGACCGGCAAGCCAGGGCCGTTGTGACGGTGAGTCTCATACGGCTAGAGACGTGAGGTCGAAGACTCGCGTGACTAGTTTACTCACTCAAAATACTTACTCATGCGAGCTTACAATACGCTCTTCTACCAATATTGATGCGCCGAGGGTCGTAGGAACGACTCCCACATCAGGCAAACATTCGTGTGATGAACAGAAGTATTTGTTCTTTATCTGGGTGTTTATATTAATATATATAAATCACGTGTCACGCTGTTTGTCCGCGATGGACTCCTAAACTACTTAACAAATTTTAAATTAAATTTGCACACCGTATGCAGTTTGATCCAACTTGAATGATAGGATGGTTTTTATTTCGATTAATGGTCGCAATATTTATTAATCAACAATAAAATTATTTCTTATGTTGATTTTTGTTATTAATTGTAAGTTTCATAAGTCTAAAATAGATGGCGCCTTAGATCAGTTTTACAGACAATTGTAATACTGTCTGACATTAATATCTCATAGATGGCGCTGTTTTAAAAATACCAACGTTTCACATAAGCTACAATTTAATGGTGTAAACACCACGTGTTGCTGAGGCTAAAGTATAAGTGAAATTTATTTCGTAGTAAACGCAATACAGTGAAATCCAATTGTTCTTACTTTGTCAATTTTTGGTATTAGCATAGCCGGCCGCGTGTTATTTAGAAACTAAAACCTTAGCCACAGCAACGTGTGGCCGGGTCTGCTAGTTTTCTATATATGTATGTATGTATTTAATAACGTATGTCAGTCTCTGTACATAGGAAATCCTAATTTGGGGCCGGATAACCGTGCGTGATATGTACATACCTACTTATTTATTATTTATTTTTTAACTCTCTTCAAGCTGCACGTACTTTATAAACTTTGCATGTTTAATTTTTATTTTCACGATGCTATTCCTTCGCCGTGGAAGTCGTTCGTGAACATCCGTTAAGTATGTACTGCACTAGAACTCGATGAGCGACAGTGACCACTTACCATCAGGCCGTATGCTCGTCTGCCTAAAAAGGCAATAAAAAAAAGAAAAAAGAAGAAAAGTTAATACCCACCTGCGGGTATCGAACCCCGGGACAGTCGCATTGGTCGATACAAATGCACTGGACGTCTTATCCTTTAGATCACAACGACGTTAAATCCGAAGTGCCTGCCACAAAATCGAATATAAAATAGTGTTTTTTGTAGACTATCTTGATAATATTTAATATTCAGATTTTAAATAATATAATTTTTTTATATAATTCCTAGACTTAATAGTTTTTTCTCGAAATGTTTCTCGTTGAACCCCTTGATAATTAATTTATATATTTACCTGTCTTTTTTTCCCAATCAGATCGGCGTGCCCTTCCCAACGATCGGAGACAGGATGGTCACGGAGAAAATGAAATATAACGACAAGCATTCGAACGTGAAGAAGTTAATGCGCGGCTGGGACTGGTACAACGTGCAAGCCTTCAGGTGAACAACGTACCCTACTTATGGGCCGCTGACCTAGTCCCGGAGATATCCTCACCCACCCCGAGACACAGACTATCCCAGTGGTCGGCAACTGTTTCAGACTATCCCAGTGGTCGGCGACTTTTTCACAGACTATCCCAGTTATCGGCATCTTTTTCACAGACCATCCCAGTGGTTAAAAGCGCCAAATATAGATAACAAACCACTAAATTTTATTCAAAGAGTCATTTTTTATAGCCTTGTTTCTCAAAATGTTTCCTCGTCTCTTACAAGGCAAGACAATAAGTAATATTCCGTGCCTGAACTAAACATTTCGCGAAGGAACCGTAGGAGTAAAAGAGCCGCGGGTCGTCGACCACTGGACTATCCTACCCTTAGTTTCAACGCACGAATTCTTCATGACACTGATAGTAGGAATATTGGTACCGACCCGTGCCAGGTGAGAATACGCGATACTAAAAAATCAGGGGAGCGGACGGGGTATATAGAATATGGAACGAAAAAGATAATTCGATCCTACAATTGGACCCATTTATGCAAACAAGAACCAACCCACAGCAGGTTAGTTTCGAGAAAACGAGACTTATGTAAACAAAGTGTGCAAAATGCATAGATAGTATATCAGACTTATATACTATGTAGTCAGTATAAAGTAAATACTTTAAAACCCGATTGGTTCTTTCTTGCAAAAACATATTTTGTTGCTTAGTTCCTTCTTGCAAAATGGACCTAAGATTGCATCTGTGTACTTAACTCAATTTCACTCAGATTGTGGGTCGGTTCTTGTTTGCATAAATGGGTCCAATTTCAAGAGATATAGTATTCGCAGTAAATAGAAGTGGCCAAGCCGTTAATCTTTGATGAAAAGACTCAACTGATACAAGGTTAGCGCGTTGTGATAGTGCTGACGCGCCGGCCGGGGTTATCCCAGACATTATTTGAGTCGTCTTTATCAAAGGTGGCAATCTGTCCATTTGGACAAAAAAATGTTATTGATATGGCGATACAGATTGATTTGAATATAATCGTCTCCTTCAAAGAATACGGTTCAAAACCTGCATTAAATAAAGGTTAATATTAACCTGTTATTTATCTAAGATGTCGTTCAGAAGAGTTTTGTGACTGCCAATGGAATACAAAGTCAATAATTCGTTTTTCTGATTTACCAATAATTGTCCAAAAGTCACATGGCCGGCTTTGATAATAGTCGACTCATTTATGAAACAGAAAAGATTATATTAAAGTATGGATGTGTTTATTTAATCGTTATTTTAATACACGGCAACATTTTTTTTTGTAAAGTTCATATTTTCTGACCTTTATTAAGTAAAGTCGTATAGTAGACGGACTCGGTGACCTAATCATACCGCCCTTGCCTGTTGAATTCGTTCCGACTCTTGAGTGTTTGATACCGATATCTTATAGAGGGTTGAAAGACATTTCGCTTATTATACAACATTTATCTTTGTAAATAAAGGTGGGTTTTATTTGTTATCAGCATCAACAGTCCGATGTTTTTAATTGTACTTCAATTAATTACTAATTACATACAATTACTCCATTCAAATATTTGAAGAATTTTCTTGTTATATTTTTTCCAAATTTTAAATTATAAATGACTCTCCTGTAAAATTGCAAAAATGGTGCTTAAATAAAATAACGTTTCACCCTTCGATATGTATACATTTAAACTTACACATATGGTGGTAAGACGTATTGTGAGTCCGCACGGGAAGGTACACCCCGCCTATTTCTGCCGAGTAGCAGTAATGCGTTTCGGTCTGAGGGGCGGGGCAGCCGTTGTAACTATACTGAGACCTTAGAACTGATATCTTAAGGCGGTTTGCGACATTTACGTTTTAGATGTCTATGGGCTCCGGTGACTACTTGACACCAATTGGGACGTGATCTCGTCCACATACCCAAGCAATAAAAAATAAATTTAAAACCAGTATAAATTTAAATATTTTTACTTAATAATTGTATATTGGCGTATTGGTTTTTTCAGAGCCATGAACCAAGCCATAGGACGTTGCGTGAGGCACCTCAACGACTGGGGCGCCGTTCTGATGATCGACGAGAGAATCGCAGAACAAAGGAATCTTGAATATTTATCTAAATGGGTTCGAGACTTCGTAAGTAAAACAAAACTTTATATGTTGCGAATAAATTATATTAACGTGGCACAGAAATTTCTCACAATACAAACATTGAAACAGTTTTATACGGGGTGCATTAGATCCTTTGCCGAATGCAAATAAAAGTTTCGAAGAAAAAAAAACTGCTTTTTGAAGTGAAACTTCTTCAGGCACGTTGAGAGTAAAATTTAATTTGCGACAGATTCGTTACGACTAGAGAGAAAAGATACAATTTATGAAGGACGAGAAGGAGATAATAGACAGAACGTCTCGCGAACCACTCGACCGTGGACAGAGGGAGAAAGCGAGCTAGGTCGTTTCTCTTATACACAGCATTCCCTATTACAAGAGAAATTTGATTTAAGGATGAAAAATGGAGAAAACCACAAGAGAAGTTTCACTTCTTTCACGTGCACCAAGTTGCACGCGCACCATTTTTTTTATCTATTCTTTTCTGCGCAATGAAACACAAATAAAAATTAGCTATAACGTGATGTGTGGTTTTGAGGGAATCGTTAGGGACGCCCTCTAAATGTCACGAAATATTCTCTTACGTTGGAGACTTCATACAAGAAAAGTATTTATGCTTAGTTCAGTCTTTATTACGTGCAGTTAGCTTATTCTCGTTTCGGCTTAGATGATGGTCTTTTTACACCCCCTATAAATTAAAATCTAAGAGCTTCAGGTCTTTCTAGAATAAATAATGATTACGTTAATTACGTTAATATAACATCACTACAATAGAAATTTAAGCATGTTCACTTTTAATAATTAGCTATGATTATTTAAAAAAAAATACTATTAAGTAAATAATCAAAATCATTGTATGAAAAATTCCATATTTAATTTAAATGGATTATACAAAAATTCAGACACTAACATAATGAAGATACTGAAATTATTTGTTTGCCATTTCATAATAAGACGTGATATAAATTTAATTATCACTACGTATGTACTGCTGTGAATTTTATGAGGTAACATGAGATTGAATCGTTTTCGCTTATTTATTTGCATATTTAAACCTTTTTTTGTCAAGTCTAAGTGTTCACACATAGCTTAATCATTAATTCAAATAATTCAGCTTAAATCAAACATGATGACTTTCATATTGAAAATATTAATGAACAAACTTCAAATTCTACTACTTAAAATATTTCAACTAAAATTAACTAGGTAAACTATGGAAAAAAACATTGTCAAATAAAAAAAAAACCTACTTTGTATTATTTAAGTTAACAGTTCAAACTTTGAAGCAAACCTGTACTTTTGTCAATTGTATTTGAGACTTAATAACATTACTGAAAGTTAATAAATAACATTATATAAACAGATAAGATTAATATACAAATAATTATATAAAAAAACACGCAATTCATAGACTCATGAAATGAAATTGTTCTTCGATTATGTATATAAAAATAAAAATTTGACATGATTCCATTAAGTACTTACATAATAGCCATATTATTATATTCAGTTATAATAATAATAGCTATTAACTGTTCTCTCTCATAGAATAATTGTAGCTTAAAAAACAAAATTAATCTTTAACCATGAAACAAAGTAAATTTTTATCATTTATATTTATTAAGATTAAATAAGATCATACGAAGAAAAATCATGATTATTTTTAAATAACACAATATTGCGCTTTACAAGTTGATACACGCTAGAGGTAAACACAGACTAAAGGACTTTTTTTTTCTAAATTAGAGCCAACAGAAGCAGGGGAACTTCTTAGTTTTTATAAGGGTAAATGGTCAGATAAAATATACATATACCGATTATTATCCGTAGTTTATCTGACCACGGACATCACAGATGTTCGAACCGAAAAAATTGTTTCTCGCAAATCTGATATTGGTTCTTTGGCTGCATTTTTTAAATGTATTTTTTTTGTAAATGTTGCTTTTTTCTATAATACTACTACTACGATAAAAGGGTTTAGAATATATTTATCATAATATTATTTATTATACATAATTTTCCAAACAAACGTTCCTAATTGTAGTCAACCCACATATTAAGTCGAATTCGCCGCGAAAAGATTAATTTATTCCAAATAAAGACCGGCCCTCTCGTTTGTGAGATTTTTTAGCCAAATCTCATTTATCATTGCCACGTCATTGACAAGTTGATATTAAAAAAATTACTTCGAAAATGTTTAGCTACACATACAACTACATTTCCATATCAAACAATAATGTCATGCCATTCTTAATGAACACTAGTTTTTTAGATTATATTAATAATGCATCTAATTGTTTTTCACGTGATAACGGTAATATAAATCAATGAATACCGGCTGCACGCAAGAAAAAGTGTCACGTTCCGCCTGAACCTGAGCGTGCAAGCGAGAGCACAGAACAAACGATAGAGATACAAGATCGGCCCAAGCGTTGGCTTGTGACACATTTATCTCTTCTCGCGTGACGTCAGAGCTAGTAGTTACAATAGTTCCAATACTAACGTTATGACGTAAAACTATCGTCCGTAAAGCGACATTACAGACAATCAATTTTACTTTTTTTTATTTCAGCTCGGAAACAACCATTTTACTTTCGACGAATTAATGCATAGACAAAACAGCCTCACAAGATTCATGGAGAACATGAGCAAAGAATAATATATATTTTTTTGCTTATTTTATTCATTTTTATTATTTTAATCAAATTATGACCAATTATTCTAATAAAATGTAATGACAATGTATGTTTTTTGTTTTAACTATAATACTAGATCAATTTTGAAGATCAATACTAATTAGGCGAGTACGTTTTGTAAATTGATTCAATACCTACAATAAATAATGTTTTGAGGTGGCTAGTTGTTGATCTCTAAGGATGAATTTCCGCTTTTCTCTCTAAGCTGTAACAAAAATTTTAAATAAATAAAAATGTTTAGCCGAAAATTGTTGTTCTTTTTTTTTTATACAATAGGCAGCGGCTTGACTGTGCTCCCGGCATTGAGGACGTCTATGAGTGACGGTGACCACTTACAATCATGCGGGCCGTATGCTCGGCTGCCTACAAAGACAATTAAAAATCCTACATCGTTCTTCACAATTCTTTAAATACCTAGTTTTCATAAAAACATAAGTTTTGCACATCCGACTGAAGTCTCCACGTCGTCGCGTACTGTCTTTTTTTTGCATAAATGGGTGGACGAGCTCACAGCCCACCTGGTGTTAAGTGGTTACTGGAGCCCATGGGCATCTACAACGTAAATGCGCCACCCACCTTGAGATATGAGTTCTAAGGTCTCAGTATAGTTACAACGGCTGCCCCACCCTTCAAATCGAAACACATCACTGCTTCACGGCAGGAATAGGCAGTGCAGTGGTACCCACCAGTGCGGACTCACAAGAGGTCCTACCATCAGTAATTTTTTATTAAATTTTTATGTACATATATTAAGCGTATTATAAATAAATACTTACGATTTTGTACAGTCTACAGAACGAATGTGACGTTTGAGATGCGACACTATGGGAAACGAACGCATGCAGATGCCACAAGAGAACGGTCTCTCGCCGGTGTGGTACCTGGACAATAAACATGAAGGATAAAATTAGGTATCGTGAGCATTTCTTTTGTTACGCCGGTAAGAGTAACGCCATCTATCGCCGAATAGTCGAACGAATATCGAAGGATCTAGCAGTATCTAGAACGCTCGAGAAGTACAACGCCATCTATTGTCAGATAGCGGAAACACACAATACTAGACTTTTGTGAAATATTCTCGACGATTCTAAAGGGATTTCGTTTCGACTATAAAAGCGTTGCTGGGATGGCACGCAGTCAGTCGGTAATCGGAACTACTCGAAGCGAAACAGCGAACGGATCACCTGAAGCGAAGCGGAACAAGCGAATTGAGAGTTTTAGTGTTTAAGTGTTTTAAATGTTGAATACAGTTTTAGTTGTACTTTGGTGGAACATTTTATTTATCCCGAACCCTCAGCGCGTAACACTTTTATATGTTTCGTAGAGGAAGCACCATCTTATATAGGAGACAAGTTGAAAAAGTGTCCGTCTGTAAACAGCAAGCTATTGTTGGAAGACTCATCGAGATAGCGCTAGTGTAGAAAGCGGAAATAATATGAATATATTAAAGCAGTTTTAAACAGAGTGAAGTATGGTAGTTTATGGTGCTGTTTTTAAAATCTTTCCACTTGCTACTGTGGCGCCACCTTCATTGTCTCCCTGTCAGCGGACACTTTTTTATATAGCGAGATGGTGCTCCTTTTTGTTCTACCCTCCATAATTTATCTGTGCTGTGCGGTTTGCGCTGTCTGAATTGTTGTGATGTCTGTGGAGTTCAGTTTACGCTGTCTAAATTATTGTGATTCTGTGGGATCAGCGGGTGAAATCTGTATTGCACTGGAATAACTGCTGTTTTCGTCGTGAAATTAGAATGATTGTTTGGGCAGAAAACAAAAGAAAAAATTAAATTCCAAACAAAAATATAATATAAACAATATACTAAATTTACCTTTTATGAACAACCAAATCGCTCTTTTTATAGAATTTCTTGCCGCACCCCTTAACGTCGCAGGCGTGGGGCATCACACCCTGGTGTTTAGATTTTATATGGTCTTTTAACTGTAACATTAATATCGAATATTTTATTTACTAATTTTTTTTATGGCTTAGATGGGTGGACGAGCTCACAGCCCACCTGGTGTTAAATGGTTACTGGAGCCCATAGACATCTACAATGTAAATGCGCCACCCAACTCGAGACACAAGTTCTACGGTCTCAGTATCACGGTCAGTATCACTCAACGGCTACCCCATCCTTCGAACCGAAACGCATTAAACTAACCAAAGTTTCTGAACGAAATTTCCTAGAAATATTGCACACTGAAAAGTTACAAATGTTAGCTGTTCTTCTTGGTACAAAGAAAAAATTCTATAGTTTAAAATGTCAAATGAAACTTTACAGTTGAATTTACTTTATTAAGATAAATTTATTCCGTGTGTTTAAGAAGATTTAATTTATTATGGAACTTTTAACATAGACAAGTATCAAAGTAAATACTAAATATCTTTAAAAAATTATAACTTTTTAAAGATTTCGATTGTAATTTTCTGTACCAAATCAAACAGTCAACATGTCCAAAACAATAAAAAAATCGTTCAGTAGCTCCGGAGTTGTGGAACAAACAAACAGACACAGATAGAAAACAAAATGTGTGCAATTCACACGTGCTAGAAGTGAAACCTTCCAAAATTAAAATACAATTATCCTAAACGTCTTAAGTATATGTAAAATTTTGTCATTAGTAAATAATTGTAAGGTAGCGCCCTCTGTGAATTGATATTTTAATTTCACGTATAATCCTAAATTAAAATTCAATACAAGAGCTTTCATACACACGTTAGTATTAAAAAATCTCACAGATGGCGCTNGAGGAGAGCTTTCCCTCACTCGCCCCGCCGCCTCCTTCTGCGAGATGGTGCACTCGCAGAAGTCGAGCATAGCCTTCCATGACTCATCGCTGCCAAGCATCGACGCCACGACGCCAGGCAGCGACAAGTCAGGTCCTATCTTTGCGACCAGGACACGGCGCTGCACCTCCCAAGCGGGGCAGACAGCGAGCGTATGCTCCGCCGTGTCGAATGGTTAGGCTTAAGGCAGGTTTCTCGTGGATATCAGCGATGTCAAAGCTATAGCCGAGTCGAAGTCTACTGCTCTGGTTGATCAGAGTGATATGCTTTAACTATCAAAAATACCTGTGAAATACGTTCGCGACTGTTGTCGGCGCGCTAATTACTGTGTTGTAACTTACTGTATTTCTACTGGTGGTAGGACGTCTTGTGAGTCCGCTCGGGTAGTTACCACCACCTATTTATTTTCTGCCGTGAAGCGGTAATGCGTTTCGATTTAAAGGGTGAGGCAACAGACAAGGCAGGTTAAATCTGAGACTTTAGACAATATCTCGAGGTGGGTGGCGGTATTTATGTTGTAGATGTCTATAGGCTCCGGTAACTACTTAACACCAGATGGGCCATGAGCTCGTTCAAGCAATTGAAAAAATCAAATTATTGACATTGTTAAGGCCAGTGACGCTTTCTTTTTAAGTTTAATTTACCAGCTGACGATTTGAAATACTCGTATTATTGTTAGTCATCAATGCGCATTACTTAATGTCTCAGAAATAGTAAAATTATTCATTCATATAGGTATGTTAATGTCAAATGTTTCTTATTGCAAGCGCTTAAAGCTGAATATTACTGGAGCTCGCAGAAAAGCAACGGTCAATTTGTCGAGTCACTTCAAAAAATTCCAAGGTCGTCCGACGAAAAGCGACGGTACTTTAAGTTAGAAACGTAACAAATTATAATAACTAGGTATAAACTGGTGGTGACCCACTGCAGGCGAGAGTCTCTCGATTGAGAACATTAAATATGTAATGGTCCACCAATCTGTCATTATAAGACACGATCTTCTCATCGACGTCCCCTAGGCCGTCCGCCTTACCGCTTGTGACTTTGTAGGGTCTACGTATATAATATGTCAGTACTTGTTCAAATATGATAATGTGATTAACGTGACTAGCCCCACATGAGCGTGGCGGCTTTCTGTTTCGTGTCAGCGTTTTTGGTTGAAAAATAAAAAGTATTATCATTTTAACTTAAGATAAAAAATAACTGTATACGAATATTGTAAATTTATAATGTATGAAAAACACAATATTAAAGTAATTATTTTCTGTTGTACTGACCTTGGTTTGGCTCACATGGGCTAAGCAAAATTCGTTACAGACGCTTGTATCCCGTATGGTCTAGTGGCTAGGATACCTGGCTTTCACCCAGGAGGCTCGGGTTCGATTCCCGGTACGGGAAATCTTTTTGTATTTTTTTTTTAAACTGCCAATACTAGTTTTTCAACACTATCAATTTTATGTTGCAAGCCCACACGGATATGTACTATGTACCACTATCATGTCTTGTTCTGTTTCAATGTAATCACACTTTACCGTTTGAAGGATAGAAGAGACTTCAGTCTATGGGTCGCCATCATCGTAAGTGGTAACCGTTTCTCAAGGGCATCGGTTACGCCATCAGCAGAGCTGCTTTACATGAGATGAACTTGGCTCATCACAGTTATAAAAATTTTAAAGCTTAACCTGACTTGAAGTTGTTGACCTTTACGGTAACAAGAAATAAAAGTAGGACGTGTGTCTATAACGGGGCTTGTAATCACCAAGTCGAGCGGAAACCACAGCCCAAGGGAGCTACAGGGGAGCTTACTTCACAAAGTTGATTAAAATATTCTTATCGTCAGAACTTAATAACATACAGGTGCTTGTAATCTAATTTTTTGATCGCCTCTTTGGTATTGTGGTTGGTTCTGTGAAAGAAGGTGTACAACGTTCAATGTTGATATTGTTATGACGCAAGCCAACTGGTGGTAGGACCTCTTGTGAATCCGCACGGGTAGGTACCACCGCCCTACCTATTTCTGCCGTGCAGCTGTACTGCGTCTCGGCTTGAAGGGTGGAGCAGCCGTTGTAACTATACTGAGACCTTAGAACTTATGTTTCATGGTGGGTGGCGCATTTACGTTGTAGATGTCTATAGGCTCTAGTAGCCACTTAACACCAGGTGGGCTGTGAGCTCGTCCGACCATCTACGCAATAAAAATTGTACATATTCTCGTACATTTCATATTCTCTAACGCGCCGAACTGGTAGACATTCAACTATTCCCATCCCAAAGTCAAAGGTTAGTACCGCTAAGTCCTAGTTTATCAGATCACCATCAATCTAATTCAATTAGAACATGAGTTCCCGATAACGATGTATCGATATCGAGACCATTTAGTTGTAGATAATCGAATATCGATACGTTGAGCTAACTCAGTGCCCTCGTTCGATCGGTCACGGATGGGTGCTCTTCACTCAATGTTGTTAAGAACGGTAAGGCGGATTTAATTTATGTGGAAGATTTATTATTATTTTAACATAATACCAGTTGAACATACGAGTATACCAAGATCGTGTACATTTCTGCCGTCACATAGCTATGAGTAAAACTGGGACTTGAACCTTAATAACATTCAATTATACTGTATTCTCTTTGATTGGCTAGCTTGTGTTGGTGGAGTTCGACAATCTAATAAAAGATAAGGATTCAGGCGGCTGTTCATTTCGAATAGACATGATTGGGGTGCGCTAAACACGAAGCGTTCACCAGAGGCCCCATGCATCGAAAGGTGAATGTTTTCTTCGAGAGACCCCTTGATAAAATGAATTATTGTTTGTCAAGGTAAATGTGCCACATCCATCCGAATGGACTCTCGAAACATTACGTACCTAGTATAGTAATAATACTCTATTTTGAGTAGTGTTCTGCTTATGATGTTCGGATGAAAATGATGTGGTATGGTAACGCCAATATAGTTAATTAAAAATAAGTCGAGTTATTCGCATGAAAGACACTCATGGTCCAACGCTACCTATAACCGATTTATAAGTTAGAGCTTATATTTCCGTTATAAAATTTTCGAATGACTGTGCTTACATAAATACATATCTTGTAATTTTGAAACAGTATTAGCAATAAAATATAAATTTATGTTTCAATTTGTTATTCGAAAGTTCTGCGAAAGTCTGGAATATTGAGTTGAATTTTGGATTCATGAGCATTTTAAATTAACAAATCAGGATACATACATACAAATTTGGATAAAATTTTGCGCAATTTTATGCCTGGACAAGCACAAATATGGGGCTTCAATCATGGGAAATGTTATGACCCGTGCAACGCCGCCGCGCCGCGCTGGGCTGGATTCGACATTGTGCTCGCTTGTTCGTGATTTTCCGCACAGACACCTCTACAAGTAGACTGATATTCGTAGACGCGAGAGGTGTTTGAGTGTGAAACAACTCGGTATCGCGGCGACTTGTTACATTGTGTATTAATTACAATTTTAATGCAGCAACATCCTCGGGCCACATCTAGTCCGAATAAATATATCTTGTATTCTACAAAATTATAGAAGTAATGTCAACATGTAACGGGTGGTTTGAACGGTAAATCTTTACATATAGGTAATTCAATAGCCTAGTATGACTTTTGACTTTACTATTGTAACTAATCCCTTTAAATTTATTTTATAAATCCAAAATACAGTTTCGTAAATTTTAAGCTACGAGTATATTGGGATATCTCTCCTCTCGAGCAAGTGATAAAGTGCCTCGCTCAGTTCCAGTGTAAGAAATTGTTTAACCGGCCGCAACGGGACGCGTGTACATTATAACTAATTGAAACACGACATTGCAAATGAACTGTATGACTGTCAGCAGGTCGTACACCGCGCGGTGCACCGGATGCTCCTCATATTGTTGTGAGACTTCGCTATCTATACATACACAGATACCACACGTAGATAGCGTACTCTTCGACGCGACGTCTGCGCTACGGACTATTGTTTTTCGCATATCCGATCCGGTGGACCGAATGGTAAACAGTCAATGTCGCCATAAACACGTCATTACGGATCCTGCCGATCCATTAACGGTTCTTTTAGGTACCACAAGCACCGGTCACCGCCTTCGCCGACCCCGTCGCTTTGCGATGAAGGGCTCGACGAGCAAATTAATCCATAGACACAGCCCACTGAGTTTCTCGCCGGATCTTCTCGTGGGTCGCGTTTCCGATCCGGTGGTAGATTCTGCGAAGCACTGCTTTTGCTAGTTCCAGTGTTAGCAACACTTCCGGCTTGAGCCCCGTGAGCTCACCTACTAGTTCGGTGAATCTAGAATAACCCTTGGAGGTTACTAGAACAGCAAGGAAAAAAAAAATTTTTTTTACGTATTTCATTCAATGGGCGGAACTTAGTTACATGAATTTTACAAGCTCCTGTTACATAATTTCTTTATCGTAAACACGTCTGAAGGTATGTATTTCACCAGAAAACAAATAATGGTACTTGCATGCCATTGTGGCATTTAAAGACCGCCACCGTCGCGTCGCTTCGCTTGATACCGGTACACCGGGCGTCTTATGCTATAAGTGTCGACGACTTCGATTTTACTTGAGATTACATTTCGATGCATTAGTAGACCCTCAGTAATTAAGTGTAAGTTTTGTTGGCTGCGTTTTAAAACTATACACATATAATAAAAGTAAAATTATGCACAGCGAGTTGGACACATTCGCTGTTGGAGCTAGTTGTGGGTCAATTTATTTATTTATTTATAATAATTAAAGAGAACTTTAAGGGAATCTTAAAAGGATCTTTTCTACTAGTACTAGATAGAACGCAGGAAATGCGGAGATACTGCAACATATTAAGATTTTTGTTTTTGAAGTGTAGCCTCTGTCAGGTTAGTTTATACTTAAATCTGCTGCTTCCTCTTAGAATAGTAGTTGAAATTAGAAAGTGTGCCCTAAGAGCTAAGACGCAACAAAACAACAGGTAATTAATTAAATTTAACGTGCTTTAGTGGTTAAAAGTCGTTCGTGTCTCTTGTTCTACATTTTTTACAAAGGGTCATATAAAAACTGAATGTACATTAAATAAAGTTAATTAGTATCAGACATTTGACCAAACGTTTGGTATAATGTTTGTATTAGCTCCTAGGAGATCACGGATGTACAATATGCGGCCGGATTCAAAAAGCAACAAGTCCACATTACCTAACCAAACACAAGCTATCTTCGTGCTAATAAAGATTAAAGTATACGTTAACATAATCGATACGACTGGCTAGAATCCTACCCTCCTACAATAATCATAATATTGTGTTCAAATTGATCGCGTGTGGACGAAGAAAGTAAGTAGGGTATTTTTAATAGGTGCTATAATCAATCATTTTACTGTTGAAGATTTTTAGAATTTTAAGTTTTGACAACTTTAGTAGAGTTGGTGATACAATAACTATGTTGCCAACGACTTATGCAGTCATATTAAATGTCACAGTATTAAACATTTATTGCGATTTCGAATTGAAATCTAATTTTCATCAATTTAAGAAATAAATAAAGCATGTAACTCACAATGAGTTATATAGATTTAATTTTTTTATTAATTTTTGTACACACAGAAAATATCAATCATATTATGCTCGTATAGGATAGTAGTTACTAGATAAGATGTGGGAGGATGTCATACTTTCCTACTAAGAGTGAGTATACAATTTGAGCCACTGAGGCAAAGAAAGCTCTTTGAAAATAAACGAGAGAAAGTATGTAAATAATGGAAGCAAAGATGCAAGAAATACAAAATTTTAAAAGATAACTGTCGCATGTGTCGTCTCCCACATTATAAATAAATCGTTCCAAAGTAATAAAGATAAGTACGCATGCGACACGAACATTGAAACTACTGTACATTTTTTTTTACCGGGATAGTGGCTTGGCTAACTCCTGGTGTGATAGAAAGTAAATTCTTCATCTAATGCCTGATATAGAATTGTATTGTAAATTTTAATGTTTTACTCATAAAACATAACTGGTTTTTCCTTTGTTCTCAGGTATGACGCGTTTGGTTGAAATAATATGCGAGGCTGGTAAATTATAAGAAGTGGTGATTCATTTTGTAATGGGGTTCGATTTAAGGATAACTTGGACAGTATCCCGTTTAAATGAGTCGAATGCTTGAAGCGCGTTAGTTTTGAATAATTGATTCTTTTTTGTTTTCCTCCTGAGGCAACTGGAAGTAACGTTTGCGTGGCCTCTCACGTGCTCACGACCATCTCGACGACGATTGTAGAAATGATGCTAGTAAAAATATTTTATTGACGGTGGCATTCACTTGTCCATGGGGCTCCCGTAAATGCGGGCGGTCAAGGCTCATTTACACAAACTATAAATAACTATATAAAAATATATTCAGTAAATTATCAAAGCAGCTGTAACAAATCAACTGTGCGTTCACGCCGATGCTATCAGACATTTGATAGCCCTTCTTGGAAGCTCCCTCGCGATATCAGAGCCGACCAACTAGACCCCTTACTTGAAACACCAATTTGTTATACCGTTGTAGTAAAGTTGAAAATTGAACAGCAATAGTTTGAATTAGCTTGGTTGTTGTGTATAAATAGCCCGAGGCATTGTTCACGTGAAGATGTGGCGCTTTTGTTTTTATCATTTTCGGTTAACCAGAGGTTTTACGTTACACATCATATCTGGTATTGTAATTTAATGATCTGTTCATGATAGGGCTATGATACGTGTTAGTGCTTAAAAATCAACTCATTCTTGATCCTGCGAATTGAACGGTAAACAGTCGACGTCGCCCAAAACACGTCATTTCGGATCCTCCCGATCCATTAACGGTGCTCTTAGGTACTTCAAGCACCGGTCATCGCTCTCGTCGAACCCATCGCTAGCGACGAAGGGCTCGACGAGTAAATTAACCCATAGACAGCCTACTGAGTTTCTCGCCGGATCTTGTCAGTGGGTCGCGTTTCTGAACCGGTGGTAGATTCTGCGAAGCACTGCTCTTGCTAGGGCTAGTGTTAGCAACGTCGTCAAGTTTGAGCCCCGTGAGCTCACCTAATAGTTCGGTGAAGTTAGAATAATCCCTCGAGGTTAGTAAAGTAGATAGGAAAAAAAACTTGGTAAGAAGGGCCCCGGTCGACCCTACAAGTGATGAAAATTGTTTTCTATAAATTGATAGTTGTATATGTCTCAATGTCCTTTGAGGTCGTGATTGTAGCATTGCGAGGTGTCGGGAGACGCAGCAGAGGCGTCGCTTTATGTGATAGTGCGGCTTGACGAAATGTAAACTTATCATAACGATGAGTGCATAACGTAGCATACAAATGTCTTCAAAAACGATAATTACTTTATTGTATGTGTATTCTATCAATTTTAACAGCATTTATGACTGTTAATAACTAGTTTTTCCTGCATCGAACAAAATATTAAAACAAAATGTAAGTGAACATTTCACACAAAGAGAGAAATTCCTGCTTTATTGTAGTCTTACGTATATAACTAAAGATTTATTGATGGCAACATAATGACGTCATCATTCGTATTGATACAACATCCGTAACCTCATTTTGTACTTGTAGAGGAATTCCGACTGCAGAAATAACCGGTCTTCCTTTGTTCAGATAATAAGCGTGGGCTGGCTTAGTGTTGGCTACCTCACCAAAGTGCAGAAATGAATTTTTTTTTCTCCTGCCTAATCTGATAGCCTTCAGAGGCTATTTCAGCGTAACCTTAACTAGTAGGTGAGCTCACGAGGCTCAAGGCGGAGTGATGCTAACATTGGCCCTAGCAAGAGCAGTGCTTCGCAGAATCTACCACCGGTTCGGAAACGCGACCCACTGAGAAGATCCGGCGAGAAACTCATTGGGCTGGTATGAATTGGTATCTCTTATGCGACATGTGGCAGTTACGAAACTTGGCGAGTCACCGTCGCGTTCAGAGATACTTGATCCCAAGAAAACTGTTTTAATATATTTGGTTGTTTTTTTCTGATCTCCATTATTAAATAATATGACGTGTTCACGAGATCTTGCGGTTGGTAGTGTGTATCAAGTAATGTACTTATATTGATAATGACTTGGGAGATGATTTCCACATTCCCATTCTAGTGAGTAATTAATTTGATTCCATATTCAAACAAAGTACCTTAACATTAGTGCGTTGTTCATACACAAATATACCATCATAACGGTATATTCAAAGTATCCGAATCTGCAGAGTCTGGTCTCTGAGCGGCTATCGATCGCAATGCACCGACGTACTTCCCCCCTTCCTCTCCACACTACCTCCCTCCCCACCTCCATCAGGGATGAACAGGTACTAAAGAATAATAATGACATAAATGATTCAATATCCGTATGATAAGCTGACTTATTGTCAAGAGGTAGCCGCACCAGATACGCTGACAACAAATCGGATCACGATTTATTTTCTTCTTATTTTTCTGTTTCCGATGTGAGTGAAGCGTACGCGTTTTGTTGAAGACGAATAAGCGTCTTAAGCGCAGTTGGTCTCTACTGTACTGTTTCTCAGGTGGGCGACTCCTTAATAAGGAGCGTATGTCTGCTTGGCGGCTTCTATAGGCAGGACAAGAACCACCCGTGCGGACGGATAATACACCCAACCACCAGTAGAATAATTACAGAAAGTTATTCCTTTATTGTGAGTTTCATCCGTGAGCTTATTACATAAATGTATCTACGTACATACAAATCGAAAAAAAAAAAAAAAACCAATAAAATACGATGAAGGGCACGCATGAAATCGCTGTGTTCTGATGACTCTTCCATTTCGAATAACGACAAAAATCTATTAAGTAGAATCGACTACGGTCTAAAGTTTCAAGTTTCTAAAATCTAAAGTAGTAAGTTTTATAGTTTTATAAATAAAAAAAAAACATTTCAAACAAATAATTCTACATCCCTCGATATAAGAGTCGATATTATTGTATATCATGTCTGAGAATTAGGTGGTGTCAGACAGCCCTTGTTGACACAGCCACCCTACACCCCTCCCCGAGTTCTCAATGCCTACAGCAACAGGCAGTTTCACGATTTTGGTTCGAAGGTACAGTGAACTCTCTTTGTTGTCCCAATATAACACGTCGTTTATTCTACATTTATTTAGTTTTTTTATAAAGGGACCAACTCGATTAGTTTTTCCTGTTAAATAGTCCGGGAATTAAAACAATACAAATATGCTTTTATCGACCAAATTTGACGGTTTGATATAACACGCGAGTTAATGAACGTTTAGTTATAAGGTCCGCTAAGTTCTCGCTGTTTTATTGTCGAAATTTTGTACATTTATCTATCTTTTTGGCAGAGTTCGAATACCTTGTCTATGTATACCTTGTCTTTTGAGATTATCCACGAATATAACCATTCTTTAATGTCTGTATATGAGCGGAACTGTTGTTCAGCCAGACTATTTTCCACCCAACGGAACAACTAGTAATCGGATGGTCTAATGTCTAGGGACTATAATGCGGTAGGACGTTACATTGGGCGTTTCGAAATAGAATTTAACGGGTTCGCTCGGCTTCAGCGTATTGAATTCGACGCCATTGCCCAGTCAGTGGTGGGTTCGTTCGGTTTCTTCAGCTCATAATAAATAACGCCGACCTGGTCCCACCAAATACACAATTCGGCCGAACCGACGACAAATGTAGAAGCCTGGCCGAGCAGATGGTTGCAGCAATAATTGCTTCAGCCATTTATTAACAAGTGGCGAGAACTTAGTTGCGCACTTAATATATTAATAACATTAGCATAGTAAGTACATACATTTATATTAATATTGTTAGTCCTTGGTCTATCACAATCATTAGTGGTCTGTCATATCTCCGCCGAATTACCCTTTGTCTGATATATCACGTTATCTGGTGATCTAGCTTCATATAATATATCGTAATGAAATGAAGCGTTTCACGTCAAACTGCTTTAAACCTGGATTTTGTTCCGAGTTCTGGTAACGCGATGCCTCTGCCATCACCTATATCCATACCCGTAACCCTATTCGTTGACTCCCCAGTCGTATTTTCTCGAGAGCATTAAAAATAACAATAAGTAACACAATACTACGAGTATAACCTACTTCTCAAACATTCGAGTACCTAGGTGCTGATCCCAAGAGTCGTTGAAAGGTCAGGGTGTCGTGGATCCCTTAGTAGAGAGGTTTTCGTTACGTACAATCCTGTCTTGAGGGTCCTCGGAGTAAGATTGAATGGTCCCTGAACCTTTGCACACTTCAGTCGAGTAGACTTAATCAAGGAAATTCATAAAAAAACTGTAATCTAACTTTTGGAAATTCCGAAAACTTGTTCTGTGATATCAGAATTATAATTATCATAATATAATGAGTTTGGCCATTCCCGAGCAGCCACAACATTATGTGTTTAATGTTAAGTCTCACATACGAAGGCTCTCACAAAGAGCCAACGATTAGCCTGTTATGAAGCAGTTACCGAAGCCCATTAATACCAACGTCCCAATTACATTTGATTCACGTCTATTCTACCTTTAAAGTAACCTTATTGTAAATATAATTATTAGCCCTGTTGTGTATATTATTGTTTGTTGTGGATGTTTCAGTCATTGTTTTGATTATAATAAAACTATAATTGAATACTTAAATCACTCATTTTAATTTTCTTCAGCGTCCATCTTTCACGTTACATTTTTATCTCTGTTGCCAGTCCTATAAACATCCCCCCCTTTTAAAGTACAACTCCCCTTTATCTATTATGTAATACATTTAGCCAATATCAACAAAATCCTTAAATCTAGTGGGTTTCTTAACTACCCGTCCACTCCTTGTTGTTATTTTATCATTACTACATTGTTCATTTAAGCCACCCCTGCTGGTCCTGCTGCTGGGAGTAGGTAGATTAGCATTATTTGTAGAACTATCCAAGGACCTACTTCTCTCCCGTGATCTTGCTGGACTCGCCTGGGTTGCCATGTTACTTCCACATACTATTTTTTCTAAGCTAGGCTCTTGTATAACATATTTAGCTGAAGGCTGACACATGCTATTATCTAATACAATATCAGGTATATCATCTACA